TGTGGGATTCAAGTAGATCATGGTCATACAAGGTTGTACACTTACTGTTCGGAAATTGGAGGGTGCAATGCCTGACTATACGACGTTCTGCAACATGGTGGAGAAGGGGATTTTTGGCGATGTCAAAGATATTGCCCAGGTCTCTAAGCGTGGTGATGAGTACTTGGTTTCTTACAAGTCACCGGAGCTTATGATGGGTGCCGCGAGGGTTTGTCGCAGGAATACGGAGAAAGAGCAATTTTATCTGGATCCGGTAGAGAGAAGAGGAACATATATTAAGGTGTATGATCTTCCCTTTGAAGTGCAYGATGAYRGAGTGAGGGAATTTYTCTCCGATTTTGGAGAGGTGGCTGCGGTTGGCAGGGACAAGTTCCCTGGGCGSCCATTTTACAATGGYATACGAACTGTACGGATTTTCCTAGACGACGATGTGGTCATCCCCGACCGTCCAACTATAATGGGWCACGAGTGCAAGGTGCTCAATACCAGCATCCCGTTTTGTTCAATGTGTAAGAAGAATGGGCACACGAGGCGCGACTGCCCGGAGAAGACGTGCCACAACTGTGGAGAGTGGGGACATTTTTCAAAGCGTTGCCCTGAGGCAAAATGTAACAGATGTCATGGATTGGGACATTGGGCCCGTCAGTGCAGAGAGGGTCTCGAGGATAGGAGCAAGGAGGTTGGAGGTACGATAGTGCGTGGTCCAGCGAAGCACACCTACGCGGCGGCAGCTGGGACGTCAAAGCAGAAGACTGGTAAAAGTAAGAGTGGTGCTGACAAGAGTGCGGGTGTGGTTTCGGCTCCGGGGGCGGCTTCTCTTCCCAGGGCACCCCGGGCTCCACCGCGGGTTACGAGGTCGTGGTCTGAGATTGTTGATGAGGGTGAACAGGGAKGTGCCGGTGGTGTTGCCAAGCGCCGTCCGGATCAGCGCCTCCCGACGAGCAATCGGTGTGATGTTCGAAATGATGAAAGCCATATGGATGTTTCCCAACCGACGGATTCTCAGCTTCTCCTTCAGGAGTATGAAAGCTACGAAAAGCAGTTGCAATGTGAKGTTCAWGAGAAGGGTGGTTCGGTTCAGTCCWKTATTTCRCCCRCCYYTCRAGGTGGTTCGGTAACCTGAGCKTATATAACATGGAACATTGATWTGTGTTTGAAGACTTTGAAGCGTATGCGTTTCATGAAGTACAGACATTAAAACAGAAAGGAACATTGATTTGTGTTTGAAGACCTTTGTCATGGACTTTAAGTTTAAGCTATTAGAATACGAACATTGTTTCCTAGTTTAGGTTGTTGGAATATGAACACTCATAATGTATCGGTTTTAATTAGATTGTGTCCGRGTTGGATCAGCAATGTTACTGTTTAATGYATCACGGTCTGAAGTGTCTTCACTAAAAGTGAGCAGTTTTCTTTAGTTTTAATAGTTAGRTATCCGTTTGACACCCATTGGTTAACGTTCTTGTCAATTTATCAGCTTGTATGTAGCTTKGGTTATCACTTGAGCAGTTGATAAGCTCATTAATTAGGGTTTCACTTTTCATGCACTGACTCCAGTAATAAGGAGTGTTAGTGCTTTAAGATGTTTGAATCGATTGCTAGCTAGTTTCTTTTCTTGAATATTGTTTTATGGAGGAGGTTGGMTTTAGAATCAAATAGCTTGTGTTTCCGTAGTGTATGAGATTGTAAACTTTGAGATTGATAGATATCTAATAAATTTTTACAACATCAAAAAAAAAAAAAATCTGTTCTTATCAGCTTAATATCTGATACGCTGCTCATCGAGTAGCTCATATATTAAACTGATTTTTGGAACTGGGCTGTGGAAAAGAGGCTTGCCTCGTCCCAGCCACGGGTTGTCTCGGTATTGCACTACCTCCGAGTTCGGCCCACTTCCCTTCGGGGAAGAATTATTTCAAAAAAGAAAAGTAACAATCAAGCGCAAA